CTGGTTTTGGTGCTGGTGCTGGTGCTGGTGCTGGTGCTGGTGCTGGTGCTGGTGCTGGTGCTGGTGCTGGTGCTGGTGCTGGTGCTGGTGCTGGTGCTGGTGCTGGTGATGGTGCTGGTGCTGGTGCTGGTGCTGGTGCTGGTGCTGGTGCTGGTGGGTGCTGGTGCTGGTGCTGGTGCTGGTGCTGGTGCTGGTGCTGGCGCTGGCGCTGGCGCTGGCGCTGGCGCTGGGGCTGGGGCTGGGGCTGGGGCTGGGGCTGGTGCTGGTGCTGGTGCTGGTGCTGGTGCTGGTGCTGGTGCTGGTGCTGGTGCTGGTGCTGGTGCTGGTGGTGACGGCGGCGGCCATGCGGTGGCGGTGACGGCGGTGCGGTAAAGGCAACTATCTTTCATATTGAATGGGGCGAAGCTGCCCGAAAACTGAGTCTGCGGCTATGCATTGAGCTTATGCCTTTGGGGCTCGACTGCGTGTGCTGTCACGTTTCAGGAAGTCCTGCTGCTTCTCATGAATACCGCAGTTGTCCGAATTTTCAGCCAGCAACTTTGCGCAGCCAAAGCCTCTTGCCCGGCCTGCAGCACGCGTGCTTGCGCCACCCATGCGGCATAGGCCCGAAAGAACTGGCCAACCATCCGTGCATCAACTATGGTCCGCTGCTGCTTCGCGCCGCGACTGGCCTGGTCAGGTTTGCATTGCGAATTCTTGGCAACTCGCTCTGCGTCGCCGTCACATGCCTTTCGAAACTTGGTGGCGCGGTACAGCCGCCGCAGCTGCCGACGCTGCTCTGCAACCTCTTCACAGACAATGCGGAACGAACTTGACAAACATTGAATCCGAACTCAAACGGAGAGACAAGCAAGCCTGGTCAAACACTAAAGCTCCACTTTCCGGGCCTTGTTTGCCTGGCTCTTCCAAGCGAGGAACAAAGCCGCGTTCCAGGCCCGGCGGCGCCCAAGCCTGGGTTCTGTCTCGGCTTTTTCGATCTGGAAGCGACCACGAGAACATGCTGACTCAGCCAAGAAACCACATGCCGGCGACCAGCTGTCGAAGCTGCAGCCTGCCAGAAGACACGATGCAAGTGCAGTCACGATTTTTCTGCAACCGGGTCCAGTTCGCGAAGTATCCCCCACTGCATGGAGTGCTGCACAGGCACTCGGACTTGAAAGTCAAGGCTGTCTAAACATTTTGCAAGTAACTATCGCGATACATGGCTTCAGCATGATGTCTGGGGATTGAGGCCTGTTTGCACGTCTTTTTTTCCAGCGAAAACTGCACAAAGCAAAGTCGAACTGATTTTTTCAGTTGAAGATGAATTATCATCGTCATCATGATTCTCTGGGGTCGGCATGTGGCAGAATCGTTCCAAAAAACATCATCCGCCACCGCTTCTGAAAAAGCATGAATGGAAATCCGTTATCTCGTTTTGCTCCATGTTGATCTTAGCCCGGCTATTCTTGCTGTCCCCTATTTCACTGCTCGTGCGGCTACTATTATTTTGATAGAAATTTGATTCTGCTTGCGCCAGGACATGCTTCTGGTGAGGTGTGGCTCATGCCCCGACGCGCACAGAACGACCGGACAGGCACATTCAGCCAAAACATGCACGCCAAATGGCTGCGAAGCAACAATGGTCGGGGTTGTACACAGCCTGCATGCCCCAAACCGCCTTGGACGGCTTACCCCCGGACTGGTGCCTCACGGCAGCGGCTGCTTTCTGACGATCCGGCTCAAAATAGAAATCTGTATACTCGTTTGACAGCTGCAAGAAAAAGTTCTTCGGACCCGTATTGGGCGAAGTTAAACGTGTAGTGTTGCCTTTCAGATGCAGGGAATCTTCATCTCGAAGCTCCAACTCGACAAAGCGGTGGTGAGAGCCAAGCTTGGATTGCACGGCGGCCGGGAATCGAATTGGGTGAAGTCGACTGGCCTCCTCACTGAGGTCCAGCCCAGTAGTCTCGAAAAGGGCCCGTGCCGCGGTCGCCAACGTCGTGTGCTCAACTCCCGCAAACTTGGCCTGGTAGGCATCCACAACACCACACGGAAGAGATCCATTCTCCTTCTCCGACTTCGTGCGAAGAACGAGATATCCGTGCTGGCGGTGTCGGGCAATGACATAGGAGGAGCGCTCTGCGCACTCCTGCATGGTGTCCACTAAGCTTCAAGGCAGTGCGAAGTTCGAAAGCCTTGCCGCCTTTGAGCCGAAAACAAAAGTTCACCTTTCGCAGCTGCTGTTACCTGTCTCTGCGCGCAAGCCGCCTAATTGCAAAGTTGCAACCCTATCTTCTCTATGGCATCGGTGGGGGCGGCCTTTCTTTCCAGGCCGCCATGCAGCTGGCAAGTCGTTGGAGCTTCGCACTGTCGGCCTTCTGATTGACATGGGACCTCACAGTCCCAGAAAGCAAACTGAGGGACAGACTCCGTACTTATGACGTCTAACCACATCTACTGGTGAAGTCACAATCTTCGCTTATGCAGAATTTAACATATATAGTTACGCATCTGCATGCAGGTAGCTCTTGCTCCCTTGATGCCTGTATATACTGTATACAGTAACAGCTTCGCACCACATCTGCACCGAACATAGCTAGGGAGAGTGCTATTTCGCAAATGCCGCGACAACTAGCCATCAACATGATGTTTCTGCGAGGGCACGCGAATCCGGCTCTGAAGACCGTGTGCTGCTTCCAGCGCTCAAGAATCCTGTCAGGGGTAAACATGTCCAACTCTGAATGCCACGGCAAAAAGCGTTCACGCAAGGTCCTCGAGAGCTTCCACCGATCAAGAAGTCGAGAGGCAAAGAAGCTGGAAGACTCGTGCTCGTACACCTTCATGAAGGTCCCATCCTAGCCCCTTCCAAAAGAAAAAGACACTGGATGCGGGGAGCAACTCTAGAAGGGCAACATGCCAGGCTAGGAGTGCGAAGTGATTACCGTGTCAAGACTCTGCCTTCGCCCACTCGTCAAAGCTTCGCATGAGCGAAGATCGATCGCACATGCTGCGCACCTTCTCCTCGAGACCCGGACTTGCCCGAATCATTGCGCAAGACTGTTCGCAACTAGCGGACCCAGCGCCCGTCAAATCAGTGCCACCTGTCCTGCGCCTTGCGAGCAGCTCGCCTGAGACAGGCAGGGAGAGAGCAGGAGTGGCAGCGTAATTACTTACGCGCATGCAGAGAGAGGGAGAGCCCATGACCCCTGCAGCTATGAAAGCAACTGGAGTGCGTACTTACCGATAACTGCAATATACCACCCTCAATTATCAGGCAAGCTGAGAACCCTGGAAGTCCGTCTATTGCTTGCAGAAACCTCACGCCTTTGGCGAGCACGCTGCGCGAGAACGAGGAAGGAGGACGCGAGAATGGTCTGCGAAGGTCATGCTTGCTGCTCATGCAGCCATTCCCAGGCAAGGAAAAGCTCCCAGACATGCAGGCATCTAGAAACCCAGAAACCACGCGAGGGCGAGAGTCTTTGCTGGGTCCTACTGAGCGAGCCAACCTGCCCGGTAATGTCCATCACCAGGCGGGGCCGCTGCAGCTGCCACATCCGTGCACGCTTGAAAAGCAGTGCCTCCCATATGACAACAAAGAGGCACCACACCCCATAAGAAATCGGAGAGATTCTGTCAATGTGTAGATACGGGTATGACAGATATGAATACATGCAGGCATGTACGTCTGTGTACTACGTATGTCCATACATGCTTGGATGCACGCACGCGTGAACGTGTTGTACAAACTGCACACACACACACACAGGGACCGGGTACACTTTAAATTGCCAGTGCCCGTAATGCATGTATTGCTGCATGTGCACATATTCGTGTTACCCTGGGCACAAGAGTCAACGGACAAATGACACAATTATTAAACCAAAGTCTGCCAGGATTGCAACGCTACGGCCCTGCCTCCCGCCAGTGGTGGAGAAACTCGCGGCGTCGAACTCGGAGCACTTGCTCATGCCTTCGGGGCCCCCCACCCAAGACCCCAACTAGCCACAGACTGATCCAAGTAGGGGGGGGAGCCTCTCGTTGTCGCGCTCTGCACTCGGCGCGTTTGCAGCATCTTTTCGCTGCTCCCGGCGAACCTCCAGGTTCAAAGCGGAGTGCAGGGGCAGAGGGAAGGAGCAAGTTGTTAGCTGTTGCAGTTCGGGCTTGGCAACGGATTTGATGCATGGTCGAGCCCTGCAAACGCTGCTGCAAATCCTCCCAAATCCCGAATTCCAACGAACCAGGTGTGTTTCCTGCGCCGCTTAAGTCAATACAGATGCATACATGGCAGGAGTGGTGGGCTCCGACAGTAAGAGCATCTCCTTTTGCAGCATCACGGATTAGAGTAGTGATCAGTGCAACTTCTGCTGCTGACATCTGCTGACGAATGTTGACTTCTCTTCTGCTCCGAATCTCTCCCCGTCTCATGCTTCGCAGGTACGGAACTCGAGAAATACTCGAGACAGGTTGGGATGACGAAGTGCGATCCTTCTGTCGCGTGCTGCAGCACTGCAATCCAGCCGGACGGTTGCATGTGACCTGCAGGCCCATGTTCACAGCGCGCGCGTCGGCTGGCAGTTGGCAGTGTTGGTCTGCCGTCTTTTGCTTGCCGTCCTTGCACCTGTTGAACTTGAAATACTAGCTGTGACAGAACATCCGGTGCTCAAGTAGACTCGAGCCATGTACGGAGGCCATCCGACCAGGCTTGCAGTGTCCCAGCTTCCTGCTCCTCCGACACAATTCTTTGCCGCAGCGTTTGCAGACAATCGTCTGTCCTTGGTCGGGCTGCAGGGCATGGACGCGTGAGGTTTGACCAGGTCACACAAGCCTGATCATCGACTATTGTCCAATCTACAAGGTTGGTGCAACCCTGGAACCGCAATCTGTGCTGCGCCCGATGCTAAACGAAGGATTGCATCCGAAGATCAAATCGCATTCTGTCAGGCTGATGCCGTACTTGTGTTCATATCGATACATGTGCGGAGCCCGCAAATAGACGCAGAAGCTGGGGATTTTTGGCACCGGGACCAGATCGCCGGAAAAGGCCTGCTTCAGAAAGTCGTCGGGCACAAAGCCACGAGTCCAAAGGACAAGGCCTCCGACGATCCGCTCCACCATGCCGGGCAAGGCACTCTGCACTCCCAGGGAAAGGATGAACCACCCATCCGGGCCCACCGTCGCTCTGAAGCGGTTCAGGCCAAACTTGGGCGGCTCCCCTCTGCCCACGCTCCGCGCGTCGCAGAAGTTCCGCCAGCACCGGGGCCCTGGTCGGAAATGTTGGATCCCACGCTTCACGCGCTTGGCAAGCTCACGGTCGAACTGCACGGCTGACTCTTCGCACCCTTGCAGAATGCTTGGGCGGAAATCATCTGGTTCCAGCACTGACCAAGGAACCATGACTTCATACCGTTGGACTTCGCAGAAGCATGAAGCATGGAAACCAGAGTCGACGCCCGTGCATGCAAGGATACGGAAGTTGGAGGCGTCAGCGAGCTCCTCCCGAATGCGTTGGCCCACCTCTGCATCCGGAATCCCTTCGGCACATTTCGGAAGGCGCATGCCCAAAACGTTCACTACTGCATTGGCAGTCCGGTTGGACGGCACAGCGCCGGAAAGTCGAGGTGATGGGTGCTGCTTCTCCTTTTCCGCTTGGCTTGGCGGGAATGCTGTCCAGGCCGCACGCACCAGCTCCTTCCACAGGCGGTCCTCCCAGTGATGGTACGACACCGTCAACGCAACGTGCCTTCGCGACTCCCTGGAAAGGGTGGAAGGTGGCACAGGCGGTTTCTTTTCATAGCAAGACCCCTCGCGGATGTGCCGGAAAAGCGCATTCCTGGATGGAAAGGCCACACCACAGCGCTGGCATGTTGATGGTGACGGTGGAGTTCCGAAGGATTCCTGCTCTCAGCTTCTGCAGCATGCCAAACACAAGAATCAAAAGTCAACCATTGAGCAGCATTTCTGGAAGACAAGAAGCTGGCTCCATCCGCAGGATTGCCCGCATTTGAGGCTCAGGGGTAGCAAGGCCTGGCCACCGGAACCCTGCTCCGGCCACGCTCTGCATGTACTCCTCCAAATACAGGAGCTCCTCCGGCAAGGCATGCTCACTGCAAGAGGAATTACTCACTTTGCACATGCTCCCGGCGTCCTTCAGGTCAGCGGAGAACTCCAGAATCGCCACTTGAACGAAGTGGCATCGTTTCTGCTTGTCTTTCACTCCTGGGCTTGTGAGACTTGTAGGAGTATCATCTAATTTTTGACGACAGATCTGCTCACGTTACAGCTGGGGCACGATAGCGAATGTTGTCGAACTCGGCAAGCCATTTCACAACTGCCTTGCGGTGTTCGGAGTCCAAGACCATGTCGCCAACGACATGTCGAAAGCCGATGCTCGACTGCTTGCCAGCAATCTGCACTTCCCAATAATCCCGGATGGCCTGGCATCTGAACACAAACATGATCCAAGGAAAAACGATCTGCAACTTGAGATAGAGAGCGGCCAGTCGGACACTGGATTCTGCACTGATTTCTTCACGACGTGGGTCCTGACGCCCACGGTACGTGCTCTTCTTGTCAAAGCTTCGCTCCACGTAGACGGCGTCGCGTGCAAAAAGAGCAGAGATCCTAGCTGCTGGCTACCAAACAGCCATCCGATGGATTTGGATTCGGAACCGACGACAGGCATGACTTTGCACCATGTCCTGGAAGGATCCTGGTTCTCCCAAGCCGCCCCATACTCATCCACCACCTCGCAAACCCTGTCCCGAGTCAGAGTGGCCTCGCAATTCACACCAGGCTTACTTCTGTAAGAGTGCGGTCTACAGCAACGACATCAGTCCCACCTCCAGCTTAATTCCCTGGGCACAAAGCCGTGCCCTGTGCGGCTTCCGACCGCGACCTCGAACTAGCCTGGGCCGGGGCATTATGAGCCAGAGAGCTTCACATCTACGCCGATGACGACCGACTCACCGAGGACCGAGGAGCAAGAGCGCGACCACGGTCACTGAGCCCCATCTGGCATCGGCTCCTCCTTTGGGCATGACAACGCCAATTTGTCACGAGTATGTTAAACTGAGAAACAATGAGAAACATGAACCAAGTGTGAGGAATGAGGAATACCCATCTCCGGAAGTGGTGAAAACGCACAAGCTCGAGCTTGCAGCAACGGAGAACTCCCTCCGAGTCCTGGTGATACCTCCTTGTAAGACAAGGGCACGTGCCGAGCGGTGCCCGTCAACAGCTGCTGAAATTCCAAGCCAGCGCCGGCTCCGGAACGAAATGTGCAGAATGCCATCAAGTTCTAGTGACACAACATTGCCCAAAACCTTGTGGACAGTCTGGCTGTGTCGACTGTGCAGTCGGATCTGGGAGCTGCTGCATTTACTGGGCAGAAGGTCTGAGCGAATTCGACCGTAGCTGGCCGCTGAAAACCAATGTGGGGGTTTGTAGTTTTTCATGAAACCTTAGGGCCGCAGCAGCATGCCAGGAACCATCTGCCTCAAACTGTGGAGCCCAAACTCGCGAAGCAACACAGGCTGAAGATGCACGTGGATCTATCTGCATGGAAGTTGGCCGTGAAGTTTGCGTTGGGCATGACGATTCATGTCCTAGCCCTGCGCGCACGATTCAACAGCTCAACATGGTCTGTAGAGAGCTTCGGTGGCCTCGGAGGCCACGTGATGCCACCACTTCAGGGCGCTGCGCTGCTCGCGGCTCTTGGCGCTGGCCTCCGGGCTTGAAGTTTCAACTCCGGCTGACAAAGGAAAGTGCCGCAAGCCAGAAGAATGGTAGTTCCTGCCGTTATAGCTGGGGCTTCTTGCACGGGAGTTTCGCTTGAGTGTGTCACGCCTTCCCTGCCCTGACCTGCAGCGGGTTCAGGCCGAGCTTGAGGGCTTTTTGGGAAAACAGAACTCTGCGCATGGTTCTTGTCCTCATGATGTGCATGCGCTTGAGGCGTTGCAGTCGTGGAGCTCTCAACACTTCGATGGATTTTTCTGTCGCATCTTCTCGCTGCGCCATCCTTATAGTACGACTCCATGCGCTGTCAGAAAGCTGTAAAAGCACGTAAACTTCTGATTTCCAACACGCAGGCGTCGCTCAATCTGCTGCGACTCCTGAAACGACAGATGCACGTCACGACGACTCGGGTCCTTTGTCTCGAGAAGCTGGGACAACGTCCGGGCATAGAGATCGGTGTAGGAATTCCCCTTCCCTTGAACTTCTTCCTGCAGGAGTGTCGCCTTCTTCAGCCAGTGGACATGTTCCAGCCCGAGCATCCGTGAGACGTCGTACATGTTCCAGTAAGAGACAGCGCTCCACACGGTAGCTGTCTCCAAGTCGTTCTCTCGAAAGAAGGACATGGCCCGAAGGAGCCATGTTTCAGCCTCTCGCAGAGAGAGCTTGGCATCTTGCGCGCACCGGCTCGCACAGTTTGGCACGCTCTAAGGCGATCACACCCAGAATCCTCAACGCATTTCCCATCCCGGGATCCTTTCGCACAGAGATCATAGAGCCTAGTGTGCGAGCAGCTTTGAGAGCTCGTTTGTGAGCTTTGTCAAGGTTGTCGGCACCGAAGCCAGGCATTCTCGCGGCAGCGTTTGCTTGCAGAAGTAATGCGTGTGCCATCAGGCGATGGTCTCGGCCTCCTTCCGGCATGTCCTTGCATGCCTTGATGCATTTTCCGCTGCTGCAAAGGTATCCATCAACTTGGTTTCCATCAACTTGGTTTCCTCGCTTGCTTCGTCGGTGTGAGCTTGCGCATGAGACTCCTGTGCATTCCGAAACGCCGCCAAGGCCACGAACTCTGACAACCGCTTTGTGTTTGTGAAACCCTCGTTGCTACACAAGTCTGTGTCGGTCCCAAACTCACCTTCTGACCCACATCCACTGCAAATAGCATGGTTCAAACATACCGCCCTTCTCCAGCAGCACTTGAGACGATGCCGCGTTAAGCAGTCACAGTAGTAGCCATGGTCAAGGCCGCTGTATATCCCTGTGATGCAGCGAACAATGACAAGAAATCTGAGCCGTGTCCTGGCTGCGACGACACATCGGAAGTCAAGGCCAACTGCTATAAAACGTCATCCGAACTTCGGGGAGTTTGTCTTAGGACTGCGAGCCTCCATGCTGTTCCTGCCGCTGCCCACGAGGCCCTGACGTCGCCTGCGGTCTCTGAGGTACCTGAGATCGGAATCCGTGAAGCTGGATGCATCAAGAAACTTGCAACCTTTGTCTAAAGCTGGAGCGCTGCAACAACCCAGCACCGCGTGGCTTAGCGAAACGTGCTGCGAGATTAGCCCAGTGGCAACAGCCACTGCTGGAAAACTGGCTTCATCGTCCAACGGCCAAGCCTGACATGGCACAACTCGCCAGCTGCAAGGCAGCAATGATCACAGGAACCCCGGTCCCCTGCCTATACAGACCCTGCCGAACTTCTGTGTTGCGGCTCCGTGCAGCTGCCCAGCTGGCCTCAGCGAAGCAGGCAGAGCACAAGCAGTCGAAAGGGCAGTGGCTTGGCGCAGGGCAAGGGTGCTGCGCATGATTTGATGAGGCCGCTTTTCTCCAACTCGCAGGAGGAAGGACCTGACATTGCCGGTCACAAACTCCCAGGCATGCAACATCATGCAACGTTCATGTACGGGTGGCCCTACTGGCGCAGGGCACTCTACCCGGTATCCGAGGCTGAAGCCAAAGACGCAGCATGCGAGACATGCGAAGTTCGCCCACCCTTGTCGTAGCCTGCCATGCGTCTATCGTACTTCCTCATCACACAAACACTCTATAGCTGGACGAAATGTGCAGGTCTCATGGTGCAGATGGCCCACACTCCCGATCAATATGGACGTCCCTAGGCCCTAGAGCAGCCTTCTCCGCACAGGCATACAGCCCCATCCTGAAGGCCGGTAAGTGGAGAGCAGCACAGCTATTGCTGTGACCGCTCGACAGCTGAACATGTTCTCTTCGGTTATCCGAAGCCTATCCAAACTCATGTGAGCATCTTCCTATCTTCCATGCCACTAGAACGAGATCTAATCCTGCACGGACTTTTTTTCATGTGATGCCTGGGCCATACATCGTGGCTCTTCCAGAGGCGCGGGTTCAGGGGCACTGGATTCGGGCCATGGACGACCCTAGAGTGCGCAACCCGAGTGCCGCACAGCGCCGACCAGCCCCTGAAGGCTCTTCGGACCTCAGGCCGTGTCCGGATCCCAAGGACTCGTGCGTCTCCAAGGCTCCAGACTCTATTAGCTGCACCACACATCCTAGCCAGCCTTGCAGCAGCATCACTGAGATGCTGGCCAGCTGCCGACAAACGACTTGACCATCCCACTTCTCTGCCACATCCACTAGGCGGTTCAAGCCTGCAACATGATTTTTTGGGCAGACTTTCCGGCTCCCACAGCTTTTTGTAAGTGACCCTTGCTACTCATACTCAGCTGACCCAGTGAAATCGAGCTGAGTGGACATTGCACTTTGTAAAGACGGCCTGGCTCCTGACGATGTTAGGGAAAATCCACGTAGAACCTCTTAAACCAGACTTGACATACTCTTTGCTGCTGAGGCATGAGCGGCAGACCGAGCACCAACGCTCCACCCACCAACGTTGCCTCAGCTCTTTCCGACTCCCACCTCCTCCGCCCAGAGCCCCCGAAACCCCCAGTCCTGACTGCAACGCTACAACGACCGTGGCGCTAGAGGCCCTGAGATTCTGACCGCGACTGACGAACGAATGTCGCTTTCACTTCATCCGCTTCCCTGCGCAAGCTGGTGCTGTGCAGTGCAAGCCATCGGCCAACAGTCGGATGTTAATTGTCATATTATATCGGCCATGGCTTACTATCCTTGAGCCCACGGCACAGTGTTGCAACAACTCTGAGGCCTCTTCCGCGCATGCGAGAAGGCCCAGAGTCGCCAGGCGCGGATCCAACGCAGTGCCCGGGAGAGAAGCACAGCCTCCCAAGCAGCTACAACTATAGCGGCAATCACAGCTCTTCTGGGCTTGTGGGCTAGACTTGAAGCTACGAGTATACCTGCGGCGTTTCTCAACTCCCCTTGCGGAGAGAGGTCTGTGCCTCTGCCACGCCCTGCCCGGCGAGGCGTCGCAGAAGGAGAAGCCGCCAACACGACAGCAAACGCGCCCTCCTGTCAGCCCAAAGCAACCCAAAGCATCACAAATCCTTAATCTTGTAACTTGTGGACCGAGTCCATGGCTACTCTGAAGGGGTCCTCTGCCACAAAAGCCGGACTGCGGCGACCTGGCTCCGTCGGCGACGCACCACGCAGCCGTGCCAAGCCATTGCCACGGTCTGCGCCCAGAGTGTGGCACGAGATGCAGTCCAAAGATGGACGGACTGTATGATGAGGGAGAGCTGCCTCAAGCGGCGTTGCCAGAAATGCAGCACTTTGCGCTTGGTGCGCGTGTGACGGTAACGCTCGCAGAGCAGATGCACCCCACGCTTGTGGCGCTGCTCCACGGAGCTTTGCCGCCAGGCGCGCAAACACGACAGCAGCAACTCTTCGGTGTCTGCGGCTCGGCACTCCCCGACGTGGCACCACCATTGCTGCCAGGCCCACCACTCGCTGCGCAGCGCATGCGCTTCAAAAACATCGGAGACAGACTCGAGAAGGACTGGAACCAAAGTCCGGAACTCACGGCCTCTCTGAACGGCTGTACACCAGCATTCGAAGCCAGCTCGCAATAGCAAGCTCAGGCGGCGTGTCATGCCTCGGGCAACACGCAGCGTGGCCAGTTCCAGTGCTTCCTGCACGACCTGCCAGGATCTGCCAGGAGATGCCGGGAGCATAAGTGGTCACTACGACATGTGAACCGGCTGACCTACCTGGAGCCAAGCCCTCCAGCTTCGACCAATCAGCCCGGTCGTTTGTTGATGTCGACGATACCTGCACTGGTCAGACGGTTTTTTCCAAAGCTTCAAGATGCTTGCTTTGCAGGGGGATTCGCTTGCATACCACATATGACATAAGCTGGCAGGTCACCGGACAGCATCGAACAGATGGATCCAGCGGCCCAGGCTGAAATGCCAGAGCCTGGCGCATGTCATGCGCTTGCTACACATCCAGGGCTGCAGCATGAATCTGCAGCTGACGCAGTTCCATTCCAAAGCTTGGAAGGCACATGGCTTCTCTAGCGCCAACGACATGATCAATCGAAAGGAGCCGTCTCATACACTTTTCTGGTGCAGCATACGAGGGAGTGATCAGCTTCCGTGCTGCTATAGCCTTGCAATGCCGGAGATGCACCTGAGAGATTAGTATTGGCCAGGTGCTGCTGAGGGCGAACTTGCCTTACAAGCCGAACGGACAGATTCCGGCAACATGCTGCCCCATGAGCGCATTCAGCATCTTCGCGGACCGTGAGTAGTGTTCACGTTTGTCCCCTCGTCGGCTGGTGTGAAGACATAGGTCGGTGTCAAGATGCAAAGACAAATGCTGCGTGCTCTGGAGCTCGTCCTAGTATCCAGATCGTGGTCCTGCCGGGCTGCGGGCTTCTTTTAACATTGGCGACCACCCCCTCTGGCTCTGCACCTGTAAGCTCGGTTGCACGTCAGCAACGGCACGCAATGCTTGCCAGGCTTCCTTCGGAGAGGAAGTGCGAAAACCGCAAGCATCGTCGTTTCTAGCGCTGCACACGCCATTCCATCATTTCCAGCTCCCATAACACCATACTGAAAACTCAAAGGTCGTCATCGTCGTCACTCGGGACCGGGACATCTTCTGCTCGCAGATGCTTAACTTCTGCAACGTTCTCGCTGGCGGTTTGGAATAGAAGGGAAGCCTCAGCCTTGTCTGCAACTCCCGTTATTTGCACACCCGGACTTTTATCTCGTTGTGCTTGGAGCACAGCAAGGACCGACAGCCAAGGCTGACTGGTTGATGTGGCTCGCATGCTGTTGGCGACGCCCTGCCCGACCATGACACGCACCTTCCCGATCGGCATGCTGAGACCGAAGCTGGCATCCAGCAGCTCCTGCTTCAACTCCAGTGGACACGTCGTGAACTCCCCTCCTGGCAATCCAAATGCTCTTTACATAGGCTCTGCTCATCCTACACAGGGCTTTCAGAATGGATGCTTCGAAGATGGTGGCTAGCCAGATAGACGGAAGCAAACGCTTACACCTCTGCGCACGGCGTGACCCTTCGCAAGTCCCGTCGCTCTCCATGTCTGCTTCTGTATACGTGCACATAATACGACTTTTTCCATGTACCGTTTGCTGGCGCAAGCATGAGGCTCTGTGTCTATGCATATGGAATAAGTGTGTTTTTACACAAGCATCTCCGAGAGCAAATGGGTCTATGCATGACCGCAATGCAATACATCTGCTGAGTATACAATTGCGCTATGCTTCTTGTTCTGGTTCGTATTTCGTAGGATACAATACACAACAACTTGTCTAAAGCGCAATGTGCAACTCTGCTGGCTACTTGAGAAACAATCGATCACGGGCAGCATTACGAGCTACCCCCAAAAAAACCGCCGTCCTGCTTCTGCGACGAAGTGCTCGATGAGCAGCCACCTATCCTCTGCAGTTGCTGGAGAATCGATCCTCGGAAGCTTAAGGACTTCGGGTTCATGTCTTTTTCGATTTGGGAGTTTCCGAAAGTAGGGGTACCTTATTTTGGGATCTTTATAGTAAAGATCCTACTGTTTAGGGTGCTAAATCAGGGTTCCCTATTTTCGGAAACTCCCATTTGGGGTGCCATGCCAGGCGCTGAGTTCCCTAGCAGCAACGAGATCCAGAATGCAGCTCAAGCATCTGTAACCACCTGTCCATTCGTCCGGGCCGCGTCACCCGAGGGTCCTGAGAAGCTAGGCCAGGCGCGTGCTCCACCGTGGCTTAGAGTTTAATCTTCAATTATTATGTATTTTCCTCCTCATGAGGTTTGCTGGAACCCCTGCTGCAGAGGCTCCAAATCCTCAGCTGGCGTTCGGGAGGTGGCGACCACAGAAAGTCCCGGGGCATCTGTCCTCAGAGTCAGAAGTTGCAACATCTCACTGGTAAACTGCATGGCAACAAGGCCCTTGTCTGCAGTCGGTCGGCGCAGACACCGGGGAGTCGATACCATCTAGAAGTGTCAGGAAAGTGGCCGCCATCCTGTTGTGGAAGCTGCTGTCTTCTGCCGGAGGCCGTACAAAATCGTCCAAGCCCTCGATCAACAAAAGAGATCCCGGCTGGGACCCTTGGCTGGCAGCCGCAAAGGCCAGCCTCAAGCGCTCCTCACTTTCTCCCAAGTACCGGGAAAGAACATCTGAAGGACGAAGCCATGAGACTCGAACACCCAGGGTCTCTACCTGCGAAGACAACCATCGCAGCAAGTGGCTTTTCCCACTTCCCGGGGGTCCATGCAGTAGGGTCCTGGGTGGCCAGGCTATACCCATGCCGTGGAAAACCTCCAAACTGCGGAAATACTGCACCACTGTCGTCTCGAGCTCATGGAGAACATTGTCACACCCAACCACGGTGACCTTGCTGGAGTTGGCGGAACTGCTCCGCAAAGTCCTTCCATGCTCTAGGTTTGCTTGGAAGCCGAGGTTCGGGAGGGAGCCAGAGTGGCCAGACTCGACTTCCAGGAAGTAATCCCTGAACAAAGGGTGGACCTCTGCTTTCGAGGAACAGAGGCCAAGGACAACAGCAGTGGACCTCAAAGCTCTGAGTGGCCAAAGGTTCGACTGAAAGTCGGCCAGCTGCTTCCCCTGTATAGGAAGGGGGCCATCCAAGCAACCCAAGAAGACCACCTGCTGTCCACACCCCTGTCCTGAGACAAGGGCCTCTCCATCCACGCGCTGCCGCCAACCCGGTAGTAGGTTCGCCAGGAAGCTCAAGAGGTACTTGCCGAAAGCTACTGCGGAGCCCCCAGTCTGAACCAGCTCCCAGCACATGTCAACGATGGGCAAATGAATGATCCCACAGCCTCCCTTGCTTGTCCATCTCCCGCCGAGCATCTGCAAAAATGCCTGAAGCTTGCAGGCCGGAGGGCCGCCTTCGAACAGTACGGGATATGACAGTGTGAGCGAAGAGGTGCCAGTGTTCAGGGAGATCGCAGCCAAACTCTTCTCCACAGCCTCCTCCCTCCGCCCCTTCTCTTCTTCTGAACCTTCGGTTTGGCATGATAGCAGGTGTTGGTGTACCTTGAGGTCCAAGGCGGTACATGGTGAATCTGAGGGTTGCCCAGCGACCTTACGAATCTGGAAAGCACAGACGTAGCCCAACAGTCGAACCGCCAACATCATTCCTTCCAAATCACAAGGTGAGCGAGAAAGCTGCCGACGGATCGCATCCTTCAGGCTACTCATACCCAGAATGATGAAAGGCACCATAGGGCCCTCAGAGTCAGCTACATACGGACCATCGACCTCCACAGCAAGCTTCTGACTGGGAAAGCTCTGTCGAACCTCTGCACAGGAGTCCTCGCTAAGATGGAAGATCATGGCTGGCCACAAGGGGATTTGAAGGCAGCCGGGTGTTACGGCAGCATCTGGCACCATCCAGAACGAGGTCTGCAAATCCCCCAACTTCACAGAAACCTGCGAGCAACTGCCGGGTCCCTCGGATTCAGAGAGGCTGGCCAGTGTATCAGGATGAACCTTTGCTGTGTCCAGTGATGCCCATGAATCACGGGAGAGCTGCGTTCGCAAGAGCATGCCTGAGTGAAGGCCGCCCTAGAAGCTCTCATGTGCCAGTACGACCATGCATCCTGTTGGAACCAGCCAACAACTTATGGCATGTTCCTACCGTAGGAACCTGATTAAGAAACCCTGGTCCTCTAACCCCCAAAATAGTAGGCTACACAATTAATAAAGGCCCAAAGTTTCTGAATCAGGTTCCTACATTATTATGGTAATCTTATAGATCCTTTATAGTACCCCTTCTAGACCCCTTCAAAGGAACCCTAATTTAATCAGGTTCCTAGGCAGCTCAAGACATCAACCAGGCTCGAGCCTCGCCAGGTCAGGAGGCTGGAAAGCAGAGACGCGACAGCTGGCCGACGTTGGCTCAACACAATCGTGAGCCTACTGAAAGGATCATGACACTTAGTAACTAGGGTTCTAGGTAGGGTAACTCTACTTATAACTACTTGCAATCCCAATGAAGATGCTCATAACCTTCCTTACAATGTCCCATGATCCTCCAAGTACATGTCCCGAAGCCACCCTAACCTGCCTTCTCCGCCGAATGGCTTGCACGGCCTGTGCCAGCAGAGTCAGGGATCATGAAATGGAGAACGGAATGTCCAAACCCTTCCTGTGTCTGCGTTTAGCTGCCGCAGTCAGGATGGCATTCGTCAACGGCCCGGGTCTTAACACCGTGCCATGGAATATAATCCACAACTCTGTCAAGGACATCCGAGAATTATGCGAGTGAGCAGTTTGCACTGCGTGGCTGGAGGCACTTCAGACATTCTTCAGCTTCTTTTGACATTCTGCATTGGAACAGCTCAGAGTTATAGAGGCAGATGGGGGTTTCCGAAAATGGGGGACCCTAATATAGTTCCCTGAATAGTAGGATCCTTAGTATAAGGACCCCAAAGTAAGGTACCCCTAATTCGGAGACTCCCAGACCCTAAACCCTTTATAGAACCCTTATAGATACCTTTAAGGAACCCTTATGGATCCCTTTAAAGGTACCCCTAATTTTCGGAAAGCCCCACCTCCTCGGCCACCAAAAGCCGCTCCTCTTTCAGCCGCTCGAAGTGGAAGCCGCGGAGCCGGGACAGGGCTCCTGCGGCTGTTCGCAGGGTTCAGGGTTTAGGGTTTAGGGATTAAGGTTTAGGATTTGTCTCTCGCATCCTTCAAAGGCCCTGGTAAGTGGGGGGGGCACAGGGTTTTTTCGGAGATTTGCTTTCCGTGAACCCGCAACACGCTTCCGGCTGGCCGCCTGCTTGTCGCATCTTGCCCATTCCTCGCGCGAGGATTTCGATTGCCGCTCGCGCCTGTCGGAAAAGTGTGTTGTATCTATCTATCTATCTATCTATCTACATTTACCCAATCTATCAGTCTATCAATCTATCTATATGCATAACGCATGTACGTACATATCTTCAACCGTCTCGACAGCTTCTCAGCGCCGATCACACGCCTGCAAGCAAAGCTCTCCTTAAACGAGCAGAAAGGACAAAAAACAACTGCAAGCTGCAACGGCGAGCATTCATGAAGAACACGAGAGACTGCACACACTCATGACGACTACCAGCACCACTCTCAGCACAAAGCTGCCCAGGCCTCTCTAAGCTGCCGCGCTGTCAGCTTCCAGGAAGCAAGCAACATGGAAATGAAGTCGCTGCGAAGGCCATCGTGCAAGCCTGCACGGCGTGCACTGCCAGGCACAGGTAAATGCACTGACGACGCTCAAGGTCCGACCGGAAAAACTCCGCTGGCAAAGTGTACCGGGCAATACCGGGCACAGGTAGGTAGATCTCAGTAAAAGACATTGCCAATGATCCCAAATACGACATACTGTTCTGTATGCAACATAAGGAAAATAGGGCTTGGTAAGTAGGCCCCTCCATTGGGAAGAGGAGATGCAGGTGGGGTGGGTGTCGATGCTGCCGTTGAGTTGCAAGCTGCGCTTCCCACTCAAATCCACTCAAGGTTTGCCAGGGGTGGGGCAGACATTTCTACCGACTTGTCAGTTTCCAGACTGCCCCACGAACCAGATCTCTGATCTGCATGGCATCCCTCGCGGCTTTGTCTGAAGTCAGAGCTCAGCACCCTCAATATCCCTCAATTGTGCTTTTACTCGCGAGACCTTCTGAAGCCCTTCCTCGTTCGTGAGGGTTGCGGCCCGGGCCCCTGGCGCCTCGCAGCTTCGACGTGGCATCACGACCGGCACGGTGCCGGTCCCTCCATGCGCGCAGGGCGGCTGCCTGAAGGAACCTGGTCAGGGTCAAAGCAACGAACACCTTTAAACTAAGTGGCCGCCAGCTAGAGCCTTCGGCTCCCGGATAACGGTATGGTACACTTGATTCGCCCATGAATTGGAAATATGAGACCTGTCATTCTGCACTGGCAGCACCGCAACGGCTAACTGACCGACTCCCAATTGATCCAATTGCTTCTTGGACGGCACTGGTCTCATTCGACTTCCGTGCCTCCGCTGCCGCTCTTCGATCGCTGCTGAAACCTCGCCGTGGCGGCGCTTCGTGACCGCAAAGTCGGTCAGGCTTCGCACAGCGCCTTGCAGGACATGGCTGGCAGCAAACTTTCTGTAAGGATCCTCGGAACTTCACAAGCCCTCACAGCCGCTTGGGCAATCGTCTCGCCCAGTTGGCCCGTGTTCCTCCCCCACTCCGTTGGTCCATCCGCCTCTTTGGAGACGCCTTCGAAGACTTTCGAAGAGCCCGTGCAGAACCACGCGCTCCTGCTCAAACGGCAGCGCCTCTTTGCTAGACTTTCCATCCTGCACAAAAAAAGTGACTTAAAAAGTGCAGGGGCGTCCTGTTGGAGACGTTGAAGGGAAGCCCGCCACTCTGCGAGGAACCCGCGCAGCAGCTCTGAATCCAGAGCCCGGCCAAGACCTGGTTGGCTGCATCACACAGCAAGAGCAATCAGAATTCATCTTCGGCCACCTCGTAGCAAGAGGACGCCCTTGAAGACCAGTTGCCACCGACCCCACCAGCTGTGGAAGGTGCGGCTCTTGAGGGACCTGACTGCACAAAGAAGCCTTCCCAGACTTTAGCAGCATTTTAGCACAGCTGACATGGCTCAAACAAGATGCTTCTCAAGGCTGGGCCAAGTGCAAACACAGACGCCCTTGCAAAGCCCCTCAATGAGTCGATTCTAAACTCTTGGCCGGGAGGCAAGTCCAGAATGATCTGTGCCTTCTGAAGCGTGACTTGATTCCTCAGGAAGAGTATTCAGCGTCGGAGTGCTAGCAATACTTCCTCGTCGCATTACAACAATCGACCCGCATTTTCCCGGGTGTCCTCTGCTCTTCGCGGGCGTGTGAAGCCCAACCAAGAAAGCAGCGGCGAAGGGAGCGTGGCCTGCTGTAGTTCTGGAGGTGTCCTCGCAGAAAGCCGTGTTGTTGAACGGACCGCTCAGGAGACAAGGTATCATAGAGGGACAGACAGCACACTGGAGATATCACTTCCTTCCGAAAAACTCGAACGTAGAGGCATGCGCTGCATGAACTGCCTCGCAGTAGCAGGCGCCTCTGCTGACGCTTGCGGCACCTCGAATGCCGTCTGCATGCATGTAGACAGAACGTGTGTTTCCAGTCTTGCAGTCAATGGCACACCAACTCATACATCATCAAGACTCGTCAGGCCCAAAAGTTGCATAAGCAGTCATTCTAAATGACCTGGCCAGGTTCTATCAACATGCAACTTTATCAACTTGGTACTTCGGCACTTGTGGCAGCAGCTACTCCTTGCACAAGACACCGCACCAGACTGGGTATGATGCTCCACGATGTACGACGGAAAGGCTGTTACTGTCATCTGAAACGTTGATGCCATCGAAGCACCAGCGTGACCACCTCCGAATCGCCCTTCGTCGTGTGGAGCCCTGCAAGATGCGAGTGTCTGACAAAAGTTATATAGGGGCCGTAACAATTAGAATAGGGTTTTTGGGCTTCGAAGAAGGAACCCCAAAAATAGAAAGGTAATTATTTATTGGTGCTCCACACACGCACTCAGAAGAGGCCTTCGCTTGCATCTGACCCAGGGTCTCTGCAAGCTGCATCTCCTTGCTGTCTCGAAGGTTCGACTGCAACCTGCAGACGGCGGAGGTTCAGCAGCATTATTGTGACGATGATTTATTCTAATAACTTTCATGAGTATCAATATTCTTTTAGCGTTTCTATTGCTACAGCTATGTTTCTGGTATAAACAGTAACACTACAACTCTTATTGTCAGCAATATTGTTAGTGTTAAGTTTTACTACTACTACTACTACTACTACTACTACTACTACTACTACTACTACTACTACTACTACTACTACTACTACTACTACTACTACTGCTGAAGTTAATGCTGCTCGAAGGTCGCACCTGTACAGTGCCCGGCGTGCTGCAAAGCGCCGCAATGCCACGCAAGCCGCTGCTTCCCGCCGAGACCCGCCGGCAGAACTGCGAGAAGCAGCTTTGTTGCACGAATAGTGAGTGGTTTTGCCGGTAGTCGGCTAGTTCACCGAAAGCAGATGTCAGGGTTGGGGCTGCGAAGCAGAAAGAAGACGAGGGACGAACGACTAAGTAAATTCGCCAGCCAAAGCGAGGACTCTCATCGAACAAGTTATTCGCAAGCCCAAGCCCAATACATGCTGCCCTGAACATTGAACTTCCCAATTTGCTGACTTGAAGGCCACCTCAGCCACCACTGAAATCCTGAGCTCAGCTGGCGACGCAGCTGCGCGTTCCTTGAGTGAAAAAGCAGGGAGGCTTGACAAAAAGCTGGTGCTGATGTCACCTTCATGCGACCGGACTAGGTTTTGTTATGCATAGCAGCAGATCAATCTGGGAGTTTCCGAACATTAGGGGTACTTTATTTCGGGGTCCTTATGACAAGGATCCTACGATTTAGGGTGCTATATTCGGGTCCGCCATTTTCGGAAACCCCCATCTGCCTCTATAACTCTGAGCTGTTCGGGTACCATATTCGGGTCCCCTTACCGTCGGAAACTCCCAGGAAACTGCGTGCCAGATCTTTCCAGGGCTCTGCAGAGCCAGGCGCTTCTTGCGCCGAGTGTCCTGACAGTCCCAAGCCCATGCGGTACCAGAAAGAGTTGAATAGAGGGGCCTTATAATAATTACCAGAATACTATTTTGGGGGTTCCTTGTCATAATTATGTATCAAGGAGAACTTGGAGTTAAGCCTTAAGTCTTAAGTAGTTACATAGTAATTACCTATACTATTCTGGGGGGTTCCTTAGTGTAGTTACAGTATAACTAGTTTGAAACTGGTGCAGTGCCTCATCTTTGGCACGGCTCCCGCCGAGGCCCTTGGCGAGGCTGCGGAGGGCCCGGCGGAGGGCACGGACGCGGAGGAGAGCGCTGGCCTACGTCCAAGTGAAAGCCAGGCTTTCCGTTCCGATGTCTGCTTCTGTGTCTCCAGCGGTGGCCGCTTCTTTGATTCGACTCCATGCCTTCTCCAAACCCTGTACCTCTATAGTCGTGCCTGGTCAGCAAGCGCCCATCGCTGCTGTCTCTCCAGACACCGCCGGCGCCAGCGGTGAATTGCCAGACGCCGCCGACCTTGGGCCATCAAAACCCCCGAGAACTCCGCAAACAACATGAGATCCAAACAGGCCTGCCAATCTGCCCTATGATCTGGCCGCTCACTTCTGAGCGCATGACAGTCACGAAATCGTCGGCGATCATTCCTGCGACCAATTGAATTGGTGTATGTTCGCACCGCTTGCTCGATCTCACTACGCAGATGCACCAGCACTGGAGGAAGCCGCAGCAAGTCAGCCCTGCAGACCGAGGATGACCAGGGCTCCCGGCGGCAGACCCGAAGGCAGTGCCAAAAATGGCCAGCAAATGTAACAGTGCTCCGGCTCTCCTGTCTCATGCTACCGCTACTTAAGTGGTTGTCAAAACTAGGGTCCCTTTTGGTACCCTAAATATTTGGTGCCGTATTAAATTAAGGATCCAAAAAGGGACAATAGATGACCATAATTTTGACAACCACCCAGTTAGGTACACCCCCATCCGTGGTCCCTGGCCTTCCGGGAGCGCGCTGTGCCCAGCGCCGCCAGTGCTCGAGGCTCCCTCGCTGGGTCCGGGCCATCTGCTCACGGAGGAGCTGGACCTGGCTCTTGCTCAAGAAGAAGAGCAATAATCGTAATTAAAACAAGAATCATAACAGCAATAACAAACAATAATGACACCAATGGCTGGCTTAGGGCTTCGGGCTTTGGGCCTCGACGCAGACGTTCGAGTGCAGCTCACTCAGGCATGGGAGAGTTGACTCCCGTGACGTGGGTTTTGCAGGGATTGGTGTCGAGGACAGGCTTCATCAATACCTGCGTCTGAGTTTTCCTACAGGTCTAGCGAAAATGGAGGCAGTGTGTTCACACATATATGAGGGGAAACAGAACGGCACTTGCTTTCAAAGCAATCTCCAGAAACTTGAAGGGCCTGAAACATGGAGCCGTGCCGTCGTGATTGGTGTTGATTGGTGTTCGAACTGATCACGTGTGTGTGTGTGTGTGTGTGTGCTAAGAAGCCACGACCGCTCAAACAGCTGCAGCGCCCCAGAGCTTGTGGAAGACTCCGCGAGGGCGACCGAGAGCTCGATCTCGCCCGCGCGGTCCGAGGCCACCAGTCGTCGCCAGGCCTTGACATCTTGGCAGCTCCAGGCTCCACATTCACGTCCTGCTACATGGACTAGTACGACGTACTGGTCCCTTCTAAATCATGCCTGCAATCCGCGAATAAAGAAGGATACAGAAGAGGAAAGCTAGGGAGATGCTTCGTACAGCAAAGTTCCAGCAGCAGGTCAAGTGCTGCCCTGGCACGTGCCACACTCGATCGAGACGCGTCTGCGCTGGCGGCGTCGGTGCAGGTCCTTGCATGATGCACAAACTCCCCCACAACATCTGAACTAGGCCAGGCAGGTTTGCACGAGTCTGTCGGGAGGTAACACCTGTTGTGCACACCCCGCGAACAACTAGCCATCTCGGTTGCGGGCTGATCGCAAGCCCGAGATTACGTCAATACCCTGTGCGAGCAGGACGCCCCAGTGCAACATGTTGAGCTGAGCCTGCACGGCTTAAAACCCAAAGGAATCCCTGAATGAACAACAACGAAGGGACAGGCCGTCCCAGGCAACCAAAACCCAAGCAAGTCTTCCTTGAACCAACATCCAAGGTGACAATTAGAGGCAAATCTAATCGCTCTTTTTCGAGCCGAGCATTTTGTAATTACAGCTTGCGAGAGCAGCTGGGAGAGACCCGGGAGGCAGATTCAGCGTTTGAAACGGTGCAATCCCATTTGATAGTTCGGGAGAATCACTCCTGCTGGAACCCGACAGTTGCGCAGCGCTGCAGATTTGCCACTCCGGCAACCCCGTGTCACCACGAAGAGGAGGAACGCCCCTCTGCTTCTGAGAATGAATGCCACAGAAGATTGTGTAGAAGACGTCTATTTCTGACTGTGTGGGTTCCCGTCGCAGCCGAGTCGCAGGACACTGCAGAGAAAGCAGAGGAGGCAAGCGGGGCGACTACGGCGTGTAAAGTGGCCGCATGTCGGAATTAGGAAGCAGGTGAGCTGGAGGATGGGCCACAGTGATGGTAGCTGCGTCGCCATGCTACTACCGCAGACTCCCCAACGAAAGACGCGGTCTTCCTTTGGGGAGTCTTCGGTAGCAGACTGGCGAAGCAGCTACCATATGAGCCTGGTGGAGGACATGCGGAACACATTCCGTGTTCTCATATGTTCTAACGATGGATGTGCCAATGTGGGGATGTTGGCACTGGCGAGGAGAAGGGAGCCGAAGAAGTGCAGGACATCGGTGAAGGCTATTGACGGCTAAGAGGCTTAGCGTTTAAGGTACTTTGGCGAGGGAGGGTGCAAGCCAGCACCTTTGCGTCATGTCCTATTGCGCACAGGATCTGGCAGAGGACATCGAGGTCAGGGAGGCACGAGTTTTCTTCCATGGTAGTGGCACAATACGCAATGGCCACAGACCGACGTACCCCGCATCCGACTTGTCACCAGCATCTTGCGACACCGGTAAATGCTGTACCTTCAACGCAACTCGGCCAGGAGAAGCTGCTGTCGCCGCAACTTCGCCAACAACGGCGAGAGCTGCGCAGAGGACCGGGCATGCAACAAGTGGAGCAAGGTGTGAAGACTTTCGTAAAGCGTCATCAAACTTGCACGGAACCCACACAGGACCATCACGCGTCGGATCGACGATCACCTGGTAGCCCGCTCTTCGCTCATCCAACAGCTGTCTCACGGGCAGCTCAAGGTAAGCACTCCAGACATCACTTCGCTCACCTCCCCGCTGCCTCCGGCTCGTCACGTCTGGCACAATAAAAGCATCCTGCTCCCAAGTTAAGTAGCTGCACCCTGATGGTCACTGGCCGTGGCCACCCATCTCCGGCGGTCTTTCAGCATTCCGGAGGGTCGCGAAAGTCTTGGCGAACCTCCACCTCCCTTAAACTCGGCCAGCACGATCGATCGTCCGCTGGCGGCTGAAGCAAAACTTTGGACTCGTGCCAAGTCCTCGCTGCGATCAGTTCCCAGAGCACTCCAGCAGCGAACGACTTCGTCGAATCTCGAACAACACCTCACCATCTAGGCTGCGTCCATGAACAGGCTACTCTCCAAGCACATGGTCGCCATCTTCAGTTCCACCCAGCTCCATTATGCAAACTTCCTCCTCTCCGAACTTCACTCTGCTCGCAGGCAGTGCCTCTTCACAGCCGTAACGATCGCACGGCTTCACGGCGAAACGAACGACGGTAGGCACATGGGGCACTTGAGCCATAGCCACTTTCTCTCACATCTCGGACAGAAGCGGGTGCTCGGAATCTTCGGGCTGCTTGTTCTTTGGCTCTCAGGGCTGTACGGGGTACCATGAGGGTACTAAAGGGTACTAGAAGTTTGTACCATCAGGGCACCATAACGTGTAAGGGCTGCAGGATGCTGCAGGGTTGGACTCTGCTGGAGATGGTCGCACACCACCTCTCACGTCAGGTCCACCACCCCAAGTAAGCTTGCCACTTAATATTCTGGTATGCCGTTAACAGTCTTTGAACGTGAAATAGGAGGAACCTTGACAGTAAATTGCAAAGGGGTGTCGGTTCACATTATGATCTAGAAACTAGTAGTCTTATGCAGGGACGATCAGGCAAAAGAAGTACGCTCTTGCTATATCTTCCGACCCACACATTGCACTCATCGACGCTCAGCCCCGCGCCTTCGGCTCCCTTAAAAGCAGGAGCTAGCTCTTTGGCTGGCACCACAGAGGTCGTGATCCCCGACCAGGCACGGAGGCAGCCTGGCATCACAAGACATGTCACCGGGTGTTTCAGATATCCTCTACTTCCTGCATCTGGTTCAGGCTGCCCTCGCAAGGGTGTGTGGGATTTTGCGACCCACCAGAGTCGAAGAGCATTTGCGGGGTGTCTGTCAAGAGCAAACATGTCAGATTCGCGTTGAAGCTGCCTCTCCTCCCAGAGCCTGACACAGTGGAGCACCAAAGCAACGCTCTCAAATGCCACCCGGACCGCGAGTTGTGAAGAGATTTCTAGCCACCAATGCAACCAAGGCGACGTCAGCCGCAGGGGCGAGCTGGCTCGGAACGGCCGCGCCACATCGGCCACGAGTGGTTCCGTCGGAGGGCGCGGCCCTGCAACAGGGGGCAGTCAGGTCAACTCCAGCTGCTTGAGGTTCATGGAAGAGCGCCTCTGCTTGGGGCGCTAGCACTAGGCCCGCTAGGCGGCGAAGGTGTCAGCCATTTGCTGGTTGACAAATCTGGCAGCCGTCGACCTCGGAGCTCCAGTCAAGGCAATCACGCACAAAGTCGTCATGCAGTGCTCAACAGCACAGCCACGAGGTTTTTTGTCCGGCCTGGAGAAGAGGATAGCGGGCTACTTTGGCGCCAGTCCTGCATTTGGTCGATTCTGGCACAAAGAACGGAAGACCTCTTGGCATGTGGTCCCTCTCTCTGGAGCATGCGGCAGTGGCAGAGGCGAATTTCCAAGCCTCCTCCATGGCATCGCTCTGCAAAACTTCAGGATGGAGACCTGCATTCAACCGGGTTTGAATCGAGTCGTGTTGCGCCGACCGAGTACGTGTATGTATATGCATAATTACATTCGGTCAGATTCATTCATTCATACATACGTAATTTATGTGTTCAAACACATTTGTGTTTATGTTTGTGTGTCTATGAATACATATACACGGACAACAGGTCTGTGTGCATGTGCACACGGGTACGAGGAATACATGTTAACACTCGCGCTTGAGGAGCTCAGGCGGTACTTATACATACATGAATGCATAATTGCATATACATGCACGCATGCATGCAGACAGACAGACAGACAGACAGACTTATTGATATGTGTATATGTATGTATATTTTTGTCACTCGACAAATCAGGCGAGGTGTCAGCGCAACTACAACTTTACAGGCATCTAACACATTGGTCCGATGTTCCACACTCATTTGTTAACCAAATCTGCGAGGTAGGCCCAACTAGGCCCAACTACCTACAACCCTTCAGCCTATACATATACATACATATGTATGTCCATGTGCAGTAGCTCTGTATCCCTCTACGATTCGTATCGATTACTCTTCTTTGTGTCATTACGTGTGTACAGCTACATACACATACTTGCATACATACACACATGCATACCTTCACACACACACACACACACACATGCGTACGGACGCACATGCACACCTACCTACTAGGCACATACCTACCTACGTGCATGTGTATATACATACACACAGGAAACCGTGGAATGAGTTTGCCTCGTGGCAGAACATTCGCTCGAAGCCGTCGGATCTCCTCGATCATGTCATCCAGGCTCTGACCTGCCGAGAACGTCGAATGACACAACGGACTTTGATCCACAGGAGCAAAAAAGCTATCATAATGGAAATGACAACCATGATTCAAACATTCTATGTGTTCCTAAGTACCGTTAATAGTATTGATTATTGATTATTGAACTCTGCAATGCAAATACGTATTACCAGTCCCGAGAAATGTACAGGAAGCAACATGGAGCTAAGACCGAGCCTACCGGCGTCTCCAAGCTTGCCGGTGTCGAATCTCTGGCCTCGCGGGTATCTGGGAAGTAGACATAGAATCGACAGCGAGGCTAAAAAAGGCTAGCACCGGTCATGTTGTGTTACTCGAAGCCGCTCGATGTTTGTCTATGTTGCGATGTGCGGATTGTGGATAGATAGCGCTCACTCGGACAAGCGAGTCAAGGAATGTTACAACAGTCTTGACGAGGTTGGTGCCAATTCATGATTGGCAAGTTACACGAGACAGAGAACGGCACATATCAGCACATCTCCGCGAAAGTTCGTGTTACAAGTAGGTAAGTACGTGCACGCCTGATCAATAGCACATGATGTGCGCATAAACATGGATCTGTATTGTATGCAATTATGTGCGTGTATGTGTGTGTATGTGTATTATAGCCGTATGCGTGTGTTTGCACATATGACAGTATGTGTGGGTGCCTGTGTTCGTGCATGTGTGCGTGTGCGAGTGCAGGTGGGTATGTGCACATGTATGCTTGTCTCACCTTGTATGTGTGTAAGTGTGCGTGCGAGTATGTATGTGCATACGCATGAGTGTTTCTACGTGCATGTTTACATGTTTGAATACATGACTGTATTACATGTAGCATGTGTACTGTCTGTATCGTGTGTCTTTCGCATGTGTGCCTTTCGCGTGTGTGCGTGTGTGCGTGCGTGCGTGCGTGCGTGCGTGCGTGCGTGCGTGCGTGCGTGCGTGCGTGCGTGCGTGCGTGCGTGCGTGCGTGCGTGCGTGCGTGCGTGCGTGCGTGCGTGCGTGCGTGCGTGCGTGCGTGCGTGCGTGCGTGGGTGGGTGGGTGGGTGGGTGGGTGGGTGGGTGGGTGGGTGGGTGGGTGGGTGGGTGTGTGTGTGTGTGTGTGTGGGGAACCCAAACTACTACGGGACAGTGCAGGTGAGAATTGCAGGTTGAGAGCTAGAGAGTGATCGTGCAGGGGGACAGTGGACATTCTGGAAGGCACTGTCCAACGAAGACCTTTCCAGTTTGTCGTGAAATGGATTGAGGACGCTCAATCCACGTACCTGCCAGTGTGTTTGTGACATCCTTTGCAGTACAAGCCGTGCAATGCTACATTCTTCACATACTCGCTGTGCAATGCTTCAGGACCCTTGGCTGTTTCTTCTTTAGTAAACATCAGCAAGGAAACCAGAGCCTATTGAAGCCCCACCGGCAACGCTTTCTTTGAAGTTCTCTCATCGGAGTCATTGAACTCGCTGATGAGTCGGAATTGACCATGAGTGAACATGCAACCAGCGAGACTGGGTGTTCAAGTGTGAATCGGGCATGGCCTTATCCGTCACGGCGCCATTACCGCTGCTCTCGAGGCAGTATCCCTTGAAACAGTGCCCCGAGTGGGACGCGTGATCCTTGGCTAGGTTCCTAAGAGACCTCAAACATCAACAGACTGCAAGGCAATGTCTTGAATCCGGAAAGCACATGCTGATCAAGAGGACCAGCGCAATCAGCTTGAAGTCTCAATGTCTTGAAATACGCTTGAAGTGCACACATGTCCATGCTAAGCTTTTTGTCTAATTTACATGTAGCAGTGCAGTGCATGACCCTCGTCTTTAAGCAGTATTTGGTCTGTTTTGTCTTGGTTCATTTCGTTTCTTTTTGGTTACGGTCGGTTTTGTTTCTAGTAAGTAGTCCTTAGCAGCTGCGCCCCACTGCCATGGAGATTAACATCCAGATCAAGAATGCGCAGCCAGAAGACTTACTGCAGGCGTTTGCAGCATTAAGTGGAGGAGCGGCATCCTCAACGACAGCGGCACCTCCAACCTCACCGCCATTGAAAAGAATTCGCAAAGAAGCCCGCACAACGACGGCTGCCACAAGGAGATCCCCGAGCTTATTATTCAATCAACAGGAGCTCCAGGCACTGCAGGCGGCGAACCCACACGGAACAACGCAGGACTCCACAGCCGAGGATACCGAGCAGAGTGCAGTTGGATCTGGTGCAAAGGCAAAGCGAAAAGCTCAGCCATTCTCGGCGTTCCGCAAGCATGAGGGACGCACTATGTCCCCCCGTCCCTACTTTCAGCGAAGCGACCAACTTGGAGCAGGAGAAGCCCCGCCTACGCCAAAGCCGTCATCTTCGTCGGGATTGCCCGCGCTACCAGCCGTGCCATTGCAAACAACGGCAAGCACAAGACCCGCCAGACCACTGCTGGTCAAAAAGAGAGCCATGGACTCCAGATCTCCAAGACGCAGTCCCTCACGAAGGAGCCCCAGCGACTCAAGGACCACCAGACCGCGGGCAATATTAAGATCCAGATCGCGCACTCCCATGACAAGATCCAGATCTCGCGCTCCCAGGACAACATCCAGATCGTACGCTCCCAGGACAACATCCAGATCTCATTCCCCCAGGACAATGCAGAGATCCAGGGCATCGGGCCTCAGCAACAAAGGTACTTTGGCAACACCAAAGACACAGTCGCAGCGACCCAAGATCGACCTCAAGCTGTATGAAACTCCGCGGATGCCTTCAACTATTACATTCCACAAGAACCTCAGGCAGTTCAAGGTCAACTGGAAGGACATTGAGATTCCACAGTTTCCCATACACGACTCCACCAAACAGTACGTGGATGCACTTTGCGCTGCAGCGGAGTTCAGGATCGACCAGGGAGTTCTCTTGGAGCATGACCTCACGTGGGACAGAGGAGGCGACCCAACTCCAGAGACAATGAGAAGATTCTATTTCTTGCAATCTTCAGACCTCACCCTGCAAAATCCTCCTCTACCAACTCGGCAAGAAAAGATCTTATTCTGGTCGCATGCAACAGATGTGGGAGCGTTATTCAACATGTTGAAAGAGCGAAATATGCGCCCGATGAATGCGCATGGAGTGGCAGCCTTTGGATGCAACATCTTCTATGCCCTCGGCCACGAGATGTCCGGATCAGACATCGACGAACACAACCTGACCAGGGTGATCTTCAACACCACAAGGAGCGCGAAGAACCTGGCAGGCATCGTCGTGGGAGGCCGTGCATGGGGATCACTTCGCAAGCATCTTGGCGGATCCTATGAAACAGCTCGGGCAGCCACTGAAGAGGACGAGGTGCTCAAGGATGCGAATGCAAAAGCTTATTGTGTATCTCGCAACAGATATTGCTTTACATGCATTGCGTTCGAGCAGCTGATGACACCGCCTTCAACAGCCAATACGCTCATCTCGCAGTACCAGAGAGCTGCAGGCATCACTCCCCAAGGAAGAGCCAGACTTTCGCTCATCTAAAAGAGCATCCACGACAGCACCACGAAAGCTCCTCCTGGACATCCCTTTCGGCAAGGACTGCAAATCTTCTAATGGCTCAGTGCCGACACCGACTGCGACGCCCCAAACAGCATTCTTCGCAGTAAAAGACGCACATGAGCTCCGCTGATCCTTATGACGCTGCAAGATTTTGGACTTTTGTTGTGCCTTTACGTTTCCTTAAACTCCTTTGCCTTGAGTGTTCAGACAGTGCCCCAATTGTTAGATACCCCCATACGCAATGGCGAATGCATGGACCGGGTATTGGTCTCAGGGAGCATCGAATATGCCGTGGTGGGCGTCAGGCAGCGGGAGCGCATCGAGCACACCAACTCCGGCACCCTTGCCAGCGACAACACCGCTGCCGTCGTGGCCACCTATGCCTCCGCCAGCATCCAGCCCGGCTACACAACCTTTGCCGCCGCCGCCGCCGCCACCGTGTAACACACAGCCGGAGCCAGCCAATACAAGTACACCGACGACATCGGCAACCACGGCACGGGTACCACTTCCCAGTCAGTTTTCAGAGGACCCAGACCACTATGATACGAACCTTGTATTCAAAGCAACATTGAAGAGGACAATAGAGCCAACAGCTTGGAGCCGTGCCAAAGGACTTGCAGGAATGGACGTCCGTGATGTCACAGTTGCGCATCTTTGCAGGCATGGCATGGAGGAATTTGGACTCCGAGGACTTTCCCACGGCAAGTTCACCGGCATGATTCTGACCCGCAACATCGCCGAGAGCGTCCTCCTCTCCCAGCTCCAGAAGAAGCTCCGCGAGAACAACATCGACGTGGATGCCACCATCGACGCCATCCACCAAAGCAAAGGACCAAAAGCCCCTGACAAGGTGAAAGAGGCCATCACCTTTGTTGCACCCCTCGTCGACACCATCATGGAGGCCATCAAGCCTTGGGCACAGGTGCGCAACTACGGCGCCAAGAACACCGAGGGCGACAACCAAGCAGCACAACGCATGCAAGCCTTGGAAGAGCAGACCGCCAAGTACAAACAACGCCTACGCAGTGCCGGCATCGACGTCACCCCCCAAAAGTCCCTCCCACTGCAAAATGAGCCAAACGAAGGCCCAGAAGCAACGGCGGCACCACCAAAGCGCAGACGACTCACAAAGGGAGCCATCAAGCAGCGCAATGAGGACATCCTCGCCGAGCCCCACAATGTGATCCGTGCCAGTGGACAAGAGCCTCCGACAAGTATGACATCAATTGCAACTTGGATCACCAACCTCAAGAAGAGTCTCCCCCGAGACAAGCATGCGGAAGTGGATAACCACATACAGTCCGTGCAGACCATCCTCGAAGGCGCCAAATACACCAAGGCCGAACTACAGGAGATGGCTACGAGATGGGGACTTCCCATGTCCCTCACTACAGCGCCAAAGGCCTCACCCAAAAACCTTCAGCAGCTGATCGCCGCCGTCACCTACCTCGCCGTGTGACACGTGCAGAAAATCCTGAGAAGACCCCTAGCACATCAAGAAAGTGCCAGCATCTTCCAGCAGCTGCAACAGATAGTAGACTGGGGGCAGTTTTTGCTTTTTCATGTTCCTGCTATTAATAAAGAAGTTTTGATGTGGTTAGTTGGACTTATTCATCTTGTATTCACCTTTCATAGAATGCGGCAATCGCCTGCAGCAGAGCAACTAAAAGAGCGACTCCGAGAAAAAGGTGCGGTTCCAGAACTCTACACGTTCGAGAAATTCTCTCAGCCCTGTGCAGTGTACGTCAAACTTGCATTCCCCAGGCTCAACAAGCAAACCTATGCGACTGCTACCAGGGACGCATCATTTTGCTACATCGGATCCACCAACATCACGGTGGCCAAGAGAGAGTACAACAGAGTCGCAAAACTTCGTCAACTACAACAACTCAAACTTCCCAAAACCGAGATCGCCATTCGTTATTGGAACGATTCCCAGACCTACCAGCACTACAGCACCATCCTCCTTTCGCAGCACTCGGAGTATATTGACGCCTGGGCCGAAGAACACAGCCTGATTCAGAGATGGCAGCCCAAGCTGAACTACCCGTTTGTCACGAAGGAGCTGGTCAAGAAGGCGCATGGATTGGTCCCTAAACATCAACAACCACATCTTCGCCACCCACCAGATTCTCTAGGAAGACAACTTTTCAAAAAACTCCGACGAAGAGTACAAGGACAGAGATCCTCGCTTGTGAATGCGCTCCCCAAGCAGGCGCAATTCTGGAAGCTCTTGTACGCTATCTCAAGCGACACCAAGCAAGAATTTGAGGCCTCCAAGGAGCTACGCAGTGGAAAACATGACTCCGAAACAGTTACCCTGCTCTACAGACTTGCCAACCACATGGAGCAACCATGGAGATCAAAAGCACGAGCCAGACTACGAAAAGTCCTGCAGTTCAAGAACGCATCGATCCCAAAGCACAACAAGCCCCTGAAAGTCCCTCTACTTGCACATACGTCGCACCGCACTAACCTCGAAAAGTACCTGGTACGTCTCAGCAGGACACACAGACATGTGCTTATACCATATCATCTACCAACCAAGACGGTCCAGGAGGCAACGCACCCCTCTCTCGAGCGAGCTCTGTGGAACCACAAGCGGAAAGTCACCGATATGGGCCGACACTGGAAACCTACAGAATGTCAGTGTGCCCAATTCATCAAGCAACATCCGCGAGCACAAGTACACGAAGGACATGTGGTGACCGGCTTAGAAACCTTACAACTACACAGCACAAACCAGATCTTTCAGAACATTGGGGCCGGGAACGCCTTCTACTCCTCCAAGAAGCGTATCAAGAAGCAGCACCAAGAACAATTTCAGCGATGGCTCAAGCACCACCAATTTCCTCGCGATCAACGCATCCTCGACGACTTTGACGACTTCTTTGAGCAGGAGTGGAAGCAACACAGACTACAACTTCAACGAGAGCCACGACTCACGCACAGATTAGCAAAGAACATATTGGGCATGATCCCTGATGACTACATTGTGCACAACGAGGACCACGCCAACGCGCACCTCATGATCTACTGCCCGAACATCTACAACCAAGCAGCCTACAACACTTGGATGGACAAACAAACATTCAGAATGCTAGATGCCGACCCTGCCGAGATCAAGCAAACCATGAAAAACAACACCCCCAAGATCGTCGCCAAGCACTATGCCAAGCTCCTTGACTACGAAAAGCCTCTTCCGTATGGGTATATCCTCATGAAACGGAAAAAGAGGTGGGCGAAAGGGAGGACTATTATCGCGTATAGCAATACGTGCATCGGCAAACTGCTGAAGATCGCGGCGCTGGCATTACACCAGATGTTGAGGATAACATGGCCCAACCATTTTGGCGACGTCAGCTCGCCACAACTATGGGAGGAAATACACCAACTCTTCTACAACAACGAGCACCTGTACCCGGAGAGGCACTTGAAATTTCTCAACCACGATCTGGTCGGCTTCTTTAATTCGATACCCCAATCCGACATCCTGCAGAGCATCCAATTCCTCACATCTCAGTTCCTTGACGAGCACAACGCCACCATCACCGTCGATCCGCACAACAAGGTCGCACCAGCGCATTCAGGCCGCTCAACACACAGCCTGAAGTCCAACATGGTCAAGATGCAGGCGGAGCACATACCAGCCATCATTCAGTTCAGCTTCGACGCGTGTGCTTTCACAGCCATTGGCGAAGTCTTCCAACAGACATGCGGCACGTCGATGGGAAACCAAATCAGCCCCATCCTCTCCACGTGCGCAATCGTGGCCACAGAAATCACATGGCTACGGATGTACGGTCAATTTGTCAGCAGCGCCCATCTCCACGACAAGTTCTGGATCCGCAGGTACGTCGACAACAGAGCCATTATTGTTGATGAAGACGAACTTCAGCACAACCCCTTCATTCAGCAACTTGCGTCCCTGCACTTCTACAAGAAACCAGTACAACTTGAAGACGAAGCGTGTGACGATTTTCTGGGATTTCGCATTCACGCAGACAATCGCAAAATCACGTACAATCTCCACCGCGAGCCTTGGAGATACAGACTCCCTCAGTCAGCCGGAACTACAAAGCTACGCCTCAGCGGATATCACAGCAGAAAGCATCTCATCCGCACCATTGCCTACCCGGAAGATGTAGCCCAGAGACAAATTCAAGAACTGGACGACCTCTACGGTGATTTAGGGTATGCGCGCCTTCTGAAAACTCAACAGAGCCAGAGACCGGTAGGCAGTAGCAAGTGCAACGTCTTAGCCTTTTGTTCGTTTCTTTCTGCCCTTTCAACACTTTTCTTCAGTTTTTTGGTTCAAGCCTTGCGTTGGTTCGACTTAGGGCTAATATGACTAAAAAGCAACGTATCAATGGAGCCACAAGCGCCGCAGAGCTCACCGACATCGATACCGACTCCGAGGCCGCAGAATACATCGTCAGATTACCACATGGACTACCACTGGACATGAGTGCGCCCGAAAGTTCAACAGCAAAAGATGATCCAGTCGAGCAAGAATGCCAACTACTTCTCCAACAAAGATACATCCCCTTCGAGCTCTTCCCAAGGCTATCCACCCAGCTCAACTCCGAATTCCTCCGAGCTTCAGCACTTACCAAAGCAGGCAGAAGAACAACGGCATATACAGTCGGCGCTTTCTACCATGCCGGCAGCACCGGAGTACGCACAAACACGAGGCAAAGACCGTGGACGGCAGCACTCATGGCATACCTGGTACGAGCATGCACCCACACTACATTCTCGACTGTATCGTTACTCCGCAATGTGCACATGCGTACGCACCGAGACAAGTACAACAAGCCAGGAAGTCTCAACATTGTGATTCCAGTCTCGACTTTCCGACAAGGACACCTATGGGTTGAAGAAGACGACGGACCTGACCTATCCCCAAATGGACAACATCGCGGTCACAACCTTGAAGTCAAACTGCCCGGAATCGAGTTCAGTCCATTCAAGCTCCATGGCACGTGCCC